TCCCCAGTACCACAAAAAAAAATATGGAATTAGATATGAGTAAATCACAAGCATGAAAGTATGCTCTGCCTCTTTAGCATAAAACTATTAATTCTGAAAGTTTGATTTCTAAATATCTTTATACTGAATTTTAAACCTCCCCATGGCTCAAAGTATATATATCCTTTATTTGAACAGTTATATCTTCTCAAGCCATTTTTTGTGATACCATTTTAGCTGATGAAAATTTTATTATCAATATTTCAGCTAAGAAATTCCTGGGATTCTTCCTGATAACTCCTCATGCATACAGTGTCTAGTAAGGACATTATAAACTAACGATGGTGTTGATCTCACAGTCCTTACAGCTGACAGCTAGAAAGCTAAATGTCATCTTTTTCTAATAGCTCATAGGTTTCTGTAACTCTTGTTCCGACTCTTATTTTTGATTGAATTTTTTATTTCTTTAGGTTCATAAAATATTTGTTTGTTGTTTGACTTCTGTAAACAGGGCCTTGCCATGTAATTCAGGCTGGTCCTGAACTCACTAGGCATCCCCGGCTGGCCTCAGCTCACGGTAGTACTCTTGCCTCAGCCTTCCACGTGCTAGGAATTACAGGCATGTGCCACCACGCCTGGGGAGAGTCCCAAAATCTTAACCTACCTATGATTAAAGATACTTGAAATAGAAACTATATGCACTTATTACAAATATTAAAATAATACATAAATATATTTCATATTTATGTATGTGGCTTACAGTATACTCAAAATTTTAAAGTTCTAATAATGGAAAATGAAGGAGGGAGGAAGTCTATGGTATTATCAGCTTTCCTGTCACAGGGACAAAATATCCAACACCAGCCCTTAAAAGGAGCAGAGAGGGGCTGGGGAGATGGCGCAATAGGATAAGCACTTGACTGGCAAATGCAAGGATCTGAGTTCAATCCCCAGATCCGCCAAAAAAAAGGAGCAGAGGTCGACATGGCTCAGCTTTCCATGGGGCTCGGGGCATGGCTGCTGGCTCCACCACAGAAGCAGCATGCGGGAGGGCTGGCGGAGGAGCTGCTCACCCCGTGGTGGCCAGCAAGCAAGAAGAGAAGGGAGGCGCAGACGGGAACACGCCCCCGGCACACACCAGTGACCCACCCTGCCGACCAGGCCCACCTTGGAACCTGAGACCTGGGGCGTGGGGGTGAGGGGGCATTTCAGGCACAAAGCAGAACATCTCTATTCTTTAACAATGCCAATGCCAGTGTCAAAGACATATACAGAAAAAGAGAAAATATAAAGCACGCGGGGTAAGGTTAATATTTGGTGAATGTAAGTAAAAGGTATGCAAAGCTTTTTTCTATTATTTTTACTTTTACAATTATTTTATAGATGTAACCTTATCTCCAAATAATATTCTTCAATATTAAAAGTAATGAGGCCGGGGAGATGGCTCAGTGGAATAAGTGCTTCCCTGGCAAGCTCAAGGACCTGAGTTCAATCCCCGGTTCCACCAAAAAAATAAATAAATAA